GACAGCCGCCCGCGCTCCGCGCCGGCCCGGCCCCGCGGCTGCAGCACGAGCCGCCGCCGCCGCCAGCAGCAGGAGCAGCAGCGGCCGCCGCGGCGCTCCTCGGACCTGCACATTCCTCTCCTCCCCTCGCGCGCGCTCCCTCCTCCCGCAGCCTCTCCTCCACCAGCTGACTCCGAGGGAGAGGATGACCTCATCCCTTCCCTTCCAGCTGCCGCCGCTCCCACCCCGGCTGGGGAGGGGCGAGAAGGAGGGCCCGGAGGAGGGGCCGGGATCGAGGGGAGCGGCGGGTGGGGGTGCCGGACTGGCCAGTGCTGGACGCGGAGGGTAGCAGCAAGGCAATCGGAGGCCCGAGCTCGTGGGATTTCAGAGAGCGTTGGGTGGATTTCCTCGACGATGGGGGATGGGGTGGGCAGAGCGCGCCGCGTGTTAAGAGTCTCCGCGTTGGGCCACCGCCGAGGGCAGAGGGCCGTGGACACATGCGGGTGTGGCAGCGGCGAGGGCTGGGGAAGAGCTGGTCTTTTTGTATTGTATGGGGCGCTCGGGCACCTGGTGGGGTGTGGTATGGTGCTAGGTGTGTTGCTGGCGAGGGTGAACAGCACACTTTAACTAGGAAGCTAGGGCCCCTGTACTGGCGGTGGTAGTGGGCGTGCCATGCTTTGGAGATCCTGGGTGGCACAGGACCTGCAGGGCTGGAACACCTAAAGCAAAGCTGGCAGCAGAGGGCGGGTCCTCGGGATAAGGAGAGGGCACCCCCAGGGATGCTGTACTGCCAAAACCCCAGCCTGGAGAAAGGTGAAGGCCCTGGGGTTCTACCCATCTCAAGAGATGATTACGTGTCCCCCAAGCCCCTCCTGAGTATAAGGAGCCTGAGGCGCCAGTACTAGGCAGACACAGTGGCCGGGACCACTCCTAACCGCAGGTGGGCAACGCTACACCTCTGGCGGCAGCCTAGAGCGCGGTGGGAGGAGGGACATAGCTAGTAACCAGGAGAAAGAGGACTAGCCCAGCCCTTGGCCCCGCGCGGGAGTGGCAGATTACGAAGCTAATGCCACCTTTCTTGCTCCAAAACTGCAATTACCTTCCCTTAAACCTATAAACGTACAGACTTACTGTATGGTCTCACAAATGAAGACTGACTGTAAGAATAAAATATGTTGCAGTTTAAAAAAATCTTTAAATCCCAATAAAATATGAGATATATTTTCCTTTTTTTTTTAAATTAAGAAAACCTGTGCTTTAGTTTGCCTCGATTAGCTTTTCAAATGTAAGGGACAAAGAGGGTAATTCTTAAATTGCAATGTAACTCACATCAGAGTTCAGAGTAAGCGGGGCCACTGGCGATACACCCAGGAAGAGTTCCAGTCAGCCTCTTAATGGATCTGCAGATACAGCTTAACATTCCCCATTCCCTGGCCCCTCCCCAGGGCAGCTACAGGTGAGTTTGCATTCCTGTATAGTGACATCCTCTGCATGTAAAAACCCTCACTGACACATCACCACACCACCACGAGCTACAACACTCCACTATTTTAGCACCAACCTGACCAAAGTGAGATTCTTCTCACCCAGTGAACACAGGACCAATTGTCCTTAAACACTAGTGCCCAAGGCTTCTGCTACTTGGTCTTTGCCTGACACCCTGGTAGGAGAGTTTGTGACCATGGTCCCATAAGTAACTATATGTAAGTGCTAAACCAAATTTTCTAGTAAAAGATGGGTGGTAAGGACGAGAGGCAACCCAAGCCACTTAGAGTTAGGTCTTTTAAAATCCATCTTAAACCCTGGGCCATTTTGAATAGGAAGTTCTCTTTGGAAAATACCCTAGTTCTTTTTCTCCAGAATTCAAATCCAGCTCCAGTGTACCAATGGTGCTTTGTGCCAAACCCACTAGGGAGATCTCTTAGGTAACTAGGTCCTCAGAGATAGAGTGTATTCTAGGTCAAATGCAATGACTTAAATTGTACCAGACTCAGAAAGCCCTGTAGAGTAGCTGAGGTGTTTGGTACAGACAGATTGACTCTTCCTGTAAAACTGAGAGGATGGAATCCTCTGCCCTTAACACAGCACTTGCATAGAATATTTGCTCAGTAAGTATTAGTGAAGTGAATGGATGAATTTCTAGAGAGAACATCCTATGACATGAAGAATGCTACATTCTGTGCTGACAAATGTTCCCATGGAAACATAGGAATTATGAGAATTTTCTGGTAGATTCTGAAAAGAGATAACTAGCAATGGTTTGCTTATTAGTATATTTATTCAGAACCACTTAGAGTCTCTTTAAAGTTATACTGGTGCATCTCTGAAAAGTAATGGCTACACGTAGCTGGAAGAAAGAGTATAGAGAGGTCGAGCAAATATGTTCATATGCAGACTCTGCTAATGACTGGCCCCATGATCCTGCCATATTATTTAATAAACAAGATTAATATGAGAATTAGGTAAGATAATATATATTGCCAGGCTTTGTGTCCAATATTGTTCTCGATAGTCTCTAATCCTATTGATTCAGTAACCACATCTCAGAATTAGTTATTAATTCCACTTCACCATAATCACTGCACCTGTCAAAAAAAAGATGGACCTGATGGATAGGACATCAAAGTTCAGACTCAGACTTTTTCTTGGTGATCATTCTTAACCTCCCTGCCTTTAAGACTCATTCTGTCTAAAGTAGAGATTCTGATCCCTGGAATTTAGTAATGTCAGAACTACATTATCAAAAATGCAAAGAAACAGCCCCATGTCATATTCAGCACACTCAGCACATTATTTCTGCTATCCAACCCCCCCTCATTTTTTCCATCTTTCATTACTTCAGGGTTAATTAACCCTTTTTGTGTAGCTATGTAGCTTTTAAAATTAGATCTTCAGACACAGTCATGGCACCACTTACCTCAGAATCAACTCCTGTTCAACACAGATTCCTGGTCTGTCAGAAATGTGATCTCAGCGTAAGTGACCTTATCCTAGAGATTAATTCATATTGATATAACCTAACCTTATCATTACTCTGTACCTTTCTAGTCTCAGCTTTAATCATCCTGTTTTGATTAACTCCATTCTGTGGTCAGCTCATTTTAGAAACTACACTTGAATTTAGACTTTTCCTCGATTTGTTGGCTTTAACCCTTTCTACTTTTCGTGCTTTTTCATGCTTAACACTGCTCAAATGTGTCATAGTCTCTGAAGTTCCTCGTGATTGGGAAAACACCCCACCCCACCCGACACACACTGGTTAAAGCTTGCTCACCACTTCTTCTGGTCTGAACCTGTGCAGTTGGCATTTATGCATAGCTGCTGGCTGAGGGATGGCTGTATGTAACTACTTGTCTTTTAGATCCTTGACTGTCAACCCAAAGTGGATACTGAGGTTACCCAGAAAACTTGTGCCATCTTTTTAATCTGTTCAGATTCTACCTACTGAATTTGTTGTTTGTTAATTGTTTTTTCTCTTAAAACCTAGATATACTCTTTCCCATCCTTGCCCTCCTTTCACTGAGAAAGAAATTGAAACACCATCAGAAGAGAACTCACACATTTCACCACTTTATGTGTCACCTGCAGGCATCTCTACCCACCTCTTGATCCCCATTTTCTTTCTAGCCACCTTTTCAGGTTTTGAAGGCTTTTTACAGCAAAATATTACTGGACTTCCTTTCTTTTATTCTTCATCTCCCATCCTCTCTTGTACACACTCAGAAAGCAATAGCTGTTTCTCGTGCACTACGTTCTAAAGTCACAGGTGGTCTGTGTCCAGGTTCTGAGTCCCCTTATGAGGCTTACTGCATTTGACATAAGATACCATTCTTTTCTTGATGAATTCCTTTCTACACTAACTACTCACCATTTCTTCCCTCTGTTTCAGTGGCTTCTCTTTCTTTTTCTAATCTGTTCCTCTGCTAATTCTCCTTCATCTCCACTACCTTAAATGATACCATGCCCTAACTTTCATTTTCTTAACAATTTGATGAAATAGCACAGTGAAAATACCCCCTATATTCTGGTGACTCCTGTACATCTGTAAGCTTGATGCACTGTTTGAACATGGTGGTGAAGTCGTACTTTCTGGCTACTCTATTGGGTTCTTATATCCACCACTCTTCTCCACCCCAAGCTCTTCCAAACTACTCCCCAACACTTTGGTTAAAGGGTAAGGGGCTGGATATCTCATTAGTCTATTTACTACTGATTTGAGGTGTCCAATTCTTTGGGGCAAGTCCAGTCTTCATCTTCTTTGTCAAGATATTTCCAACCAGCAACCAACATTACAGCAAAAGTATTCAGCAACCAGTAAAAGCAGCAGCAGGGACCAGTCACAGCAGGGGGAGCAAAAGCCTCTAACCTCTCAGGGCTCTGACATTTTTATACCCTCTCAAGAGTCCTCAGAATTCCAAACATAAACTATATTCAGCAGACAAAATCATGCCCCTGTCATAGCATGAAATAA